GATGACCAGGGTAGCGGCTTGAAGCTACGGGCTAGCCCTTCAATTCAAGCTACACAGCAAGCTCCACCTCTCAGTGGTAGTCCGGCTACAGCGTATCGCGCAATCTCGCTCTCAATCAGATGCTACGCTCTCAATCAGGCGAATATGTTGTTTTAGATCGTGTAACAGTAGTCAGCACATTGACGTGAGGCACAACTTTCTTAGGAATTTGACAGAGAATGGAGTGTTGGAAATCAGAGATGTTTCTCGCGAAGGACAGCATGCGGACATTCTGACGAAGGCTCTGCCGAGAGTTCTTTTTGAAGTTCATCGTAATTTTGCTCTAGGCTCGAGATCTGAGAACTAGAGGTCTGAGTCGTTTTATTTTTTGTGTTTGTTTTTCTGATGTAGACTACTTGTATAGACTATTTGGTTTGGTCGAGACAACATCCCCAAGGGAGGGTGTTTGTGATAGTTGCTGCTGTGTGTGTCCACAGAGTAACGTAGAACAATTTGATTGGACAATTTGAATCGCGAGACTGTTGTAGATCGCTGAGTACATATTATCATAACAGCGAGGAACGTTCTGTAGGAATGTTTCTCGTGGATGGTGCATTGCCGCGAGTGTGTTCTTGGTGGATCGTGCATCAGCCAAAGGATTCATGGTACGTTGTGAAGTACGTTAGCCCCTGTTGAGTCTTTGTGTTCCGATATCATTGTGTTCCGGTATTGTGTTCTGTTTTTGTGCGTTGGTCAAGCGACATGGGTGGTGTTGCGGTGTTGCGGTGCTGCGGTGCTGCGGTGCTGGCCCCACACCCTCCCTCACTTCACCTGTTGACCTGTTTTCCTGGTCTAATACTATTGGTTCCACTCAAGTACTCTAGGAGGCAACTCTTTGTCAACTGCTGTATATATTTGTCCTGACAGCTATTAACTACAAGCTGGTCCAGCCAAGAAACCAACTTGCGTTCGTCACGCCATAGTTTATCAAGGAAAAAGAATTGAGCCGCGTTCGGCACATCCCCCGAATCGCCCAACCAAGGCGGATACGCACGTGTAAGCAAACAGCTGATTGTCGATGTTCTCTCAAAACGGAAGATATCACCCCCAATTCATATAGGTTTTAGAGTACCTAAAAAAAAAATGAAACGTTTTTTTTTGCGGCGGAATTAGGGATTTTTGAAAAAAGTAACACAGCAGCAGCACACATTGCTGTTGCGCAGCACCGTGCAGAGAGCGACAGCATGGCTTCCAGCCGCTTCCCTGCAGCCACAGACCAGTGGGAGAAGACGTCCATGCCCGTGTGCTATCCAGAGAGGAACACTGGCAAGTGGCGTTTGTTCCTCAACTTCACAAAGCGGAAGGGAGACAAGGCGAAAAGACAGCAGAGTTCACGGTTTGCTTCTCGAGAGGCAGCGCTTGCCGGCGTCTTGGACCTCAGGGCAGGCTGGGAGTACAGCCATCGCGGCAAGCTCTACAAGCGTACGATGAGAGATCCAGTCCCATCCTCAGCAGCTGTGGCGGCAGCGGCTGCGCTTCCAGCAGGCAAGTCGTAAATTGGGTACACACACAATCATGTTTCTCAAAATTCAAATCGGTGCTGTTCGTGGCAGCAGGCTGCGGACATCGCGAGTGGTCGAAAGCGCACGCTGCATGCGTACACTACAGCAGGCTTTGCTGCGCGTGGCACTCGCTCTCGTTGTTGCCTACTGTAAGCAAGGGAGGGGGAGCAACATATTTTGAAGCTTGCAACGAGTGCCACCTCTTGTGAGAGGTTGCTGGTGTCCACACCTTGATTTTTTTACAAATTTCGCAACGGCTTTTTTTTTCGTCTTCCACAAACAAACAGCGTCCGCCGTGCTGCTGCTGCTGCTGCTGCTGCCGCGGCAGCGGCGACGGCGGCGACGGCGGCGACGGCGGCCAGTATCTGTACGTGAGGGTTCTACTTGCAGCTTTCGAAAGTACTCACTTTCACTACACCGTATCGCGATCATTTTGTTTTCCCCGTATGTAACATTTTCCATATTTTTCGGTTCAAGGTGCACCGGGTGCAACGAGCTGAGCTGACACAACATTGTCACGTACAAGACTGCGCGTGTCATGTGCTGGCTTGCCGGTCCCGATGTTGTACTCACCGGTGATACAAGCGCTGTTTGAACGCACCATTCACACCTTTATGCACTCCTCAACTGCTGTCTATTTAAACCTTTATGCCTACTGCTGTGCGGGCGCAGCTCTCTCGTTGGCCTTACAGATGCTCGTCACAAGTGTAATCAGTCGACCAAATTTCCACATGCACGTGCTTCGCGATCATCACATGTTGACAGTACCGGACCCAGGCGATACTACAGCAGCAGATATGGTTTTGTTTTAGTACTTTATCTTCTCGTGCGTTTTGCATGTACTCTGCTGCAGTGGTGCCGTGCTGCGGGCCAAAAACACTCCCTGCACGAATACAAGTACAGTCGACATCTGTGCTCGCGATCCCCTTCAACTGATCCAAACATCCATGCACCTGCGCCCTATGTTACTTCATCTGCTTATACCTTAAAAAAATTACCGGCTGTACTGCCAATACACACATCAACATATACCGGGGGCGGGATCAGATAGGGCTCGCTGTGCTTTGCAGTGATCTTCTCCTGTCAAAAGTCGCTGCTGCTGTCGTATGAAAATGTTTCACACGAACTGACGCCTCCACCCGAAATCCCAATTTCACACAGGAAAATCGCGCGACAGCCTCGGCAAGCTAAACGCCGTGGAGGAAAGGAATTTCAAGCGACAGCGGCTGGCCGGTTCGGACGCGACCCGCGCAGGCTTCACGCCAGAGTCGACGCTTTCCAGGCGCGAAAGGCGTTCGGTGGCCCGGGGCTGGAGCAAGAGGGAAGGAAAGCTTCGACGGGACTTCGACAAGCGGGGCTCCTATCTCGGCAACCGGATCTACGAGCTGACATCGTAGATCGAGAGCAACGAGCAGCACATTCGGCGTATTGAGGATGCTATGGCGGAGCAAGACCTCGCGAGTCTTCTCGCCCCTCTCCCCCCCTCGCCCATCGAAGGAAATGCAGAGGTGGACGCACGGGCGTGTACCGAGGGCGAGGACAACCAGTACAAGGAGGAAGTGTCCGCCACCCAAGCAAACCGCTTGTGGTATCAAGGGCACTCGGCGTTGACGGTGTTGAAGGAGGAGCGGAAGCGCGACCTGCGGCAACTGCAACTCACGCAGCAGGCGAAGAGCTTGTCCGATGAGTCGTACACGACGATCCCAGCGGTGAAGGCAGCAGAGGCCAAACGGTTTGAGCTGTTGAACGAGGCCTCGCGTCTTCGACACGAGTCGTCGCTCTTGCGGATCGCGGCGAGAGTAAACTCCGCTGGCTCACGGGTTTACGCGGCATCGACAATCCTGGGGTGGCTCAGGGACTTTCGGGGGCACGGTGGTTCCAAGCGAGATTCGAGGGGGGTGCACGAGAGGGACTGGATCATGTCAGAAGAGGACCTCAAGGATGAGCTCGTCATGTGGATGAGGACACAGAAGCGGCTTACGGTCAAGGACGTCCAGAACTACATCAACCAGTGGCTCTTCGCGAACGAGATCGGGGATTTGTCCAGACTCCTTTCGTACCAGGTGAACCTTCCCGTGTCCATGGCCACAACCCACTCCTGGATGATCGCGCTGGGGTGCAAGTACGAGCGGGCTACGAAGTCTTTTTACACGGACGGCCACGAGAAGAAGGACGTGGTGGTGTACCGCGGCAAGTACATCGATGTCAAGCGGAAGCTCGCCCTTCGGCAACCGTTGTGGGTGCGAGTTCAACGAGACACTCTGACGCCGGAGGAGCTTCAGCGGCTTGACGGCATCAAAGGTCCGGCAAAGGATTTCTGCGCAGAGGTTTACGATTGCGTGGTAGAGGGGCGCGAGTGCATCGAGTTCCACGTCGATCTCCTGCGGGACAACGGCTCCGTCGATCGATTCGACGATCTCCGTGCTGAACTTGGACCGGAAGGGGGGCACTTCAGCGTCCGCTTCGAAGAAGCTGCTGCTCTTCCATGCGAGCATTTTCACACCCCGGTCAAGTGCAAATGCAACAGGAAGGTGCGTCACATTGGACAGGACGAGAGTGTTCTGTATAGCGTATGCGCGCGAGGGCAAGGAGTGGGTTGTCCAAGGGGTACGCGGGTTACGGAACAAAACGAGGGTCCGGGAGAGGTGGTGTCTGCCTTTCAAGATGAGAGGCACGGCTTTGGCTTGCCGTTGACGGACGACGTGCTCCAGGCGGTGAACGCGCGTCGCAAGGAGAAGGGCAAGGAAG